AAATGAAATATATCCTATATATAATACGAGTAAAGTTTGAATACTTGTCAACTCGATCTGGGAATCGGCCCTAACAAAAACGTTTATATTTACGGAATAACTAAGTTCTGGGTCAAAAATAAGTTCTAGACCAGTGGTATAGCCAGGAAAAATCTATTTTCGCCATAATTTGAGTACAAACTTTTGAAAATTTAACATGGGCCTTATGAGAAAACATTCCGCCATTATTGTCATTTTGTTTACATTTTAAGACATAACGTGACGTTCTGTACCCACGGGCACCTCAGCTAGCGCATGCTCAAAGAGCTCTTGAAGCACTTTCCGAGGATATGTAGCATATTTTTACACAGACCAAAAGGAAATAACAATGTGTATATACAGAGCAAATGAAATGAATAATCAGATTATACCATTGAGCATATTATACTACAACTGAAAAACCAATTTCTGTCAATGTCGAGTACGGTAGTTAAATTAATGAGAGGATGGAATAATCTTTAATTAGCTTTAACTCATACACCTCCTTTTATATTTATTGGGTAGCAGATTTGTGCTTAATTTATTTTGATTAGATTAAGGTATCTGCAATCATAAAATGCTATAGGAAGGGAGGGAACAAGGGCCGCGACTTAGGAAGTGGTGAAGTAAGTAGTCAGGGCGAGCTGTCCGGAGTGTGGGAACTGTTTATGACGATTAGATTAAGGTATTTGCAATCTTAAAAAGCTATGGGAAGGGAGGGAACAAGGGCCGCGACTTAGGAAGTCGTGAAGGATGTAGTCAAGGCGAGTAGTCCGGAGTGTGGGAACTGTTTACGGCGATTAGGTTAAGGTATCTGCAATCCTAAAATGCTATGGGAAGGGAGGAAAACAGGTCCACGACGTAGGAAGTGGTGAAGGAAGTAGTCAAGGCGAGTAGTCCGGAGTGTAGGAACTGTTTATGACGATTAGATTAAGGTATCTGCAATCCTAAAATGCTATAGGAAGGGAGGGAACAAGGGCCGCGACTTAGGAAGTGGTGAAGGAAGTAGTCAGGGCGAGCTGTCCGGAGTGTGGGAACTGTTTATGACGATTAGATTAAGGTATTTGCAGTCTTAAAAAGCTATGGGAAGGGAGGAAAACAGGTCCGCGACTTAGGAAGTCGTGAAGGATGTAGTCAAGGCGAGTAGTCCGGAGTGTGGGAACTGTTTACGGCGATTAGGTTAAGGTATCTGCAATCCTAAAATGCTATGGGAAGGGAGGAAAACAGGTCCACGACGTAGGAAGTGGTGAAGGAAGTAGTCAAGACGAGCTGTCCGGAGTCTGGGAACTGTTTGTGACGATTAGATTAAGGTATTTCCAATCCTGAAATACTATGGGAAGGGAGGGAAACAGGTCCGCAACTTAGGAAGTGGTGAGGGAAATAGTCAATCCGAGCTGTCCGGAGTGTGGGAACTGTTTATGACGATTAGATTAAGGCATCTGCAATCTTAAAATGGAATGGGAAGGGAGGGAAACAGGTTTGCGACTTATGAAGCGGTGAAGGAAGAAGTAAAGGCGAGTAGTCTGGAGTGTGGGAACTGTTTATGACGATTAGATAAAGGTGCCTGCAATCCTGAAATGCTATAGGAAGGGTGGAAAACAGGTCCACTACGTAAGAAGTGGTGAAGGAAGTAGTAAGGCTAGCAGTGCAGAGTATGAGTACCGTCTGCCTAAATAAGAATTATTTATCTGCAATTCTAAGATGCAATGGGAAGGGGGAAATAGGCCCACGACGTTGGGAGTGGCGAAGGAAGTAGTAAAGGCGAGCACTGTGGAGTTTGGGAATGGATTTATGTATCTGCAATACTAAGACTGCTTTCAGAGTAAACTGATGATTTTCCCCGAGCAAAGCTCGGTCCCCAGGTACTCTAATATAAAGCGCTTTTGTTGGTTAAATTTAAGTGATTTCTTTTGGCTTCTGGAATAAGTTTTTTGAAGGCGGGTTGTCTGTTACAGTTGGTGGTGTACAAGATAACATTGCTTACCTTATCCTTAGCTTCTAGATTACAATTATACTGCGTATACTTCAAGTTGGCCGATGGACCCGGGACTACCTGTGGCTACCCCTATAATCCCTCGCAGTGTTCGCCGGAGCAGCCCGATGTCTAGGCGATGAGTCACCTACTGGCTGTGTTTATACAATGGTAAAACTTTTTAACAGAGTAATAATTTTACATTTTCAAAAGTGTATTTGAAATCTGCTAAAAAAGTTATGAAAAATGATATAAAACTCGACCTGAACAAAAGGAGTTAGGCAAGTTATAAGCTGTAAATCAATAGTAAAAGGTTAAGTTCGGGACTGTTTGGGTAAAATTAAATTTACCGTAGAATTTGTTAATAGTACATCTTTTTTAATGAGATATAATAAGCCTAATACGAATTACAATAACAATCAGTCAAAACGTTATATATACAACATGCTATATACTGTACAATGCAAAATACTATACAAAACAAATCATACACATCAATAAAAAAAAAACAATACTGTACAACAAATTATTAACTATTAAACCAAATTAAATCTTCAGTGGTCTGTAATTGCTTCTGATAGTTTCACTGGCAACGTCTTCTTAAATATGGATTCTTGTGTTCTCTCTGCAAGAGAAAAAGGTAATTAAGTAAATAAGTAAGTAAAAAGTAGGTTACGATTTGTTTGTAACCAAATTGACTGACGAAAAATTGAAAACCATTTATTTAATTTGAGCAAAGTTGTCAGCTGAAAAATTCAATAATTATGCTACAAAAACATCTTTTCTAACTTCTTAGTAAAATAAAATAGAATTAAGCTTAAAAAACAGATTATACACGGTATTTTATGATAACTATAATTTTTATAAATTAATAATAATACGTTTGTTTACAATCTAGTATTATAATAAGTAGAAGTTTTATAGTTTTAAATATTAAAATAATTCCATTTATTAAAACTGACCCCACAAAACTGATAAATACTGTTTTTTTTTTTTTTTTTTTTTTTTTTATTAACTTACTCATTCAAGCTGAGCGACTCCCAAGTCGTCGTCCTCATCGCTGTCCCAGTCGCTGTCATCCACATCCGAGTCCCCTGGAGCCAGGTTAATGATTAGTTCCTGCACACTGGTATCGTCGAGACCTTCACTAAGCCAATCGTTGTCCATTTCAGTCTTCACGTGCTTGACACATTTTTCCCAGGTTTCGGGGGGATAGGAGTTCACAGCTTCCATGAAGAGTGCCTGGACGTCTGACAACTTGAATGTGGTGTTCTTTGATGCTACGTACCGCTTCAAATGGCCCCATACCATTTCAATGGGGTTATAATTACAATGATATGGTGGAAGTCTGATTACTCTAAATCCTAGGTCAGCAGCTTTGTTGTCAATAACATAGGAAGTAAGCTGGGGCTTATGAAGTTTGATGAGATTGTAGAGTTCAGGCTTACGCATATCTGGAGTAAATGGAATTCCACGGTTATGCAACCAGTCAATGTACTCCCCTTTTCTAGACGATGTTGTTGGTGCTGGATTATCCACCCGGGAATGATAGGGGGCATTGTCCATCACTATGGTAGAGCCAGCTGGGATTGATTTTAACAACACCTCAAAAAACCAGCCTTCAAAAACTTCGTGGTTCATCTCCTCGTGGAAATCAACTGTCTTTTTTGATTCAAAAATCAATGGTGGTGAGTTTATCCAACCATTGTATCCTCCTGCGTGGCATATTATGAGTCTTTTCCCTTTTCCGAGCGGAGCATTTAAGTTGCAATCAGACTTGTCGTCCGTCCATCCCACCTCCTTTGTTGAGTTGGCGTTAAGCCACGTTTCATCAAGGAAAATTACATTTTTCATATCAACATTTTTCATTTTTCTTAAAAATCTACACCTAGATAAAGCAATACTAGGTTTTTCCATTAGCAGTTTTCTTTTGTTGAGCTTTTTCCAGCGGAAACCAAGGTTTTTCAACAATTTCGATAACGTTCGTATTGAGCCACTGAATAGACTTGCCTCATGAAGTGTGACCTGAAGTTTTCGGAGCGTTGGTACCTCTTTGCGTTTGTAATAATTTACCACGTGCCGACGAATCGCAGTTCTGTCAAAATCGTCCATGAGCGAGAACCGTGACTGCTTGTGCTTTTTCTTTTTTGGCGTTTGAAGTACAGGAGTCGAGTGGTTACATACAGCTACAGCTTCTTGTTCAGTTTCTTCTGCTAAGTCCAGTTGAATGTCATAGAATTAGATGTATCAGCACCAACACTAACACTTTTCAACTCCGCCTTTATTCTTCCCACGGTCCGTATCGACACCTGACACGCTTCGGACACTCTTTCGACAACTTTCTTTACGTCTTTTAGCGGCCCTTTGTTGTCGCGTTCTCGCTCGAAATACTGGAGGACAGACGCAATTATCGTTCTAGCTTGGGAATGATACACTTTACCCCGTTTCTCTGAAGGAGGCATTACATAAGAATTTACGGCGAACAAATTCTATTGACTACTTTTAAAATTATATTCACTAAACGTCCAGAAATGTAATTCTAAAAAAGCGCAAAACACTAGCCGAATTTCACGTACTCACGATGTGCACCCCTCGACTGTCACTACACACACTGGTTATATATTTGCAGTTTTACTAAATGAGTCACAACCCCTCTTTTAGAAATAGTATGAATCATCTAGAAACAGACTTGTTTGCAGATTTTCTTGTTGATTAACTTTAGCATTGCAACACCCTTATCACATTAAATATTATTTTGTTTTGGTCGAGTTTTATATCATTTTTCATAACTTTTTTAGCAGATTTCAAATACACTTTTGAAAATGTAAAATTATTACTCTGTTAAAAAGTTTTACCATTGTATAAACACAGCCAGTAGGTGACTCATCGCCTAGACATCGGGCTGCTCCGGCGAACACTGCGAGGGATTATAGGGGTAGCCACAGGTAGTCCCGGGTCCATCGGCCAACTTGAAGTATACGCAGTATAATATTCATATTTCGGGTTTTAGGAGGGAGTTGAAGTGTACATAGGGCAGAGGAGAGAGGCTATGGCACCAGATACCGCACTGACACTAGCACACCCACTGTCAGCCAACCCCCCATCACTTGACACAGTTGAACCATAGGAGAACAAATTAGGGTTTTCAAATTTTGATTATTAAATTCTTCTATTAGTTGATCGAAAGCATTGTTGTAAAATATGTAAGTACTTGTTACGTCTTGGTTTTTGGTAGGGATGGACGAGATTGGATTTTTAGTTCGAGACGAGACGAGACGAGATTTTTTATTTCTCATAAAATTTCGAGACGAGATCGAGACGGGATTTCCCTTCTCATACACAACGGGAAATGCACGTTCAGAATTTTTACCTGATTTTGTAACATTGTTAGATGACTGTTTAAATACAAAAATAATGATAATAGGCAAGAATATTTACAATCTGTTATTAAAAAACATCAGCATAACATTTTTTTATTAATCACGCCTAACTCATTAAAAATGCCTACGATTAGGAAACATAGTGATATCAGTTAGGATAGAGTTAAATTTATCCTAAAATAAAATAAATCATAAAATAAAATATTAATTTCTACAAAATAGTTACTGGTTTTGACTTTTTTTATAGTAATAAAACATTCCTCCCACTGCTAACAAAATTAACAAAACTTCTCAAATGTTATTAAAATAATTAAAGTAATATTTACATTTGAAGAATTTATTAATAAGAACGCCTTTGCAAAGGAAACGCAACTACAACACGGTCCTGTATTGCGGGTATTGCATTGACTTTCTGCAGGCGTGTTTTTATTTTTATTTTTTTTTTTTTATTCTCGTCTCGATAAAAATCTTGGCCAAAAATAAATCTCGTCTCGTGTAACGAGACTTAAAATTTCCCGAAATTTCGAGACTTGACCATCCCTAGTTTTTGGTAGTACCTTGATTTAGTGACCAAGCTAAAAACTGATGGCCCATTGTTAACTTTCTGCTGTGTTAAATTACAGTTACAGTAGACCAAATCACATGGTTACCAAAACAACCTTTTAAAAACTACAGCTACTCCTGCATTCATGTTTTTTTTTCATGTGTGAAATCAGCTGAAATACAATGAGCGAAAGCAGCATCTACATTAAATTTTTGTTCTTGAATATCAACTTTCATGTCAGCCTCAATTACAGTAATTCCAGGGTTGTCTTGATTTGTAGCTGTAACACTGTTTGATTTTTTAGGAGTGCTGTGGTTGTACCAGAGTTCAGGCCATGTGTACTCGTGAGAACAGTATGCCTAGCATTTTTCGGTTGCTGTACCACTTTTTTAAACAGTCAATTATAATGTGCTAATTTAGTTTTGCCTTTGTTATTAAGGTGCAGTCCATGGGATGTGTAGTGATATCTTTTGAGTTCACTTAAATTGATTAAATGCACATTGTCACTTCTAGCTGTTAATTCATCAAGATAGTTTTTTACCGTCTTGAGATTAAAATTTTTAAAGTGATTATAGGTATATTTTTTAAGTTGATCACTCAATGTTATTTAAATGGGTTTCATTACTTCATTAGTGAGTTTTTGAAACACTTAAAGTAAAGAAGATGTTTACATCACGCTTGGGATAGGGAAGTTTAACAAGGCGGTTTGGGTAAGAATTTACAGCTGACTTCAATTAATATATTTGTTTATTTACGTTAGCTTCATAAGCTTAAGAAACAAACTTAACAGGCCAGTGGGCCAAAAGCCAAGGAAAATTAAAAAACTGAATATGCTATATGTTAATCGAGACAAAGATGAATCTACGAAAAATCGGTCCAGCCGTTCTTGAGTTATAAGTGGTGTAACTAATACGACTTTGTTATATTATACATTTATTTTTTATTTGATTTCTATGCAATTTATGTATACAAATATATTTATCTTAATTCTACTCCCGTTTTATTACTGAATTTTTGCCAAAGCCCTATGGTGATATCAGATATTTTTTCCCAGACTTACTTTGCATACAAGATTAATAGCCCAGTCAATGAATGCAATAAAACACCCTTTTTCACAACTAAATGGTGGAAAGCTGGATTTTTTATATGTGATAGAACCACATGAGAGGTGTATTTTCCCAAAACTCCCCACTTCTACCCCTTGAGCTTTCCCCCCCACCCCCCTCCAAACCTAGAAATTGCAGTGTTTTACTTAATTGGTCATAATTCAAATGCTATCGAGCTGCAATTTGTTTTGTTTTATTTTTTATTAGTTTTCCTACAACTTTTGTATTTGTAAAATTTTTCTAAAACCAATACTTAGGGAGATATAAAATTTAAACTTCGTTTAAAGCTTAGTTTCAGAGTGCAAAATTTTGTTTTTCTCAATGTATACTATTAAATAGAAATAATACGCAAATATGGTTCAAACAAAAGTTTTAGTACGTTTTTCAAGGTTTACAAATATATTATTGGTTAGTCATCTAGGTGACCGGGTGAAGTGCTGGGTGTCGGCAAAATGAGCGTGTGCGCGCTAGTTGAACACCTCTGTGCTGCTCGCATCTAGCCCAGCCAATAAACGCACAAACTGCCTTTTTTCGTAGCTAAATAGTGGAAAGATGAGTTTTTTATATGTGATGGAACCACTTAAGACGTGTATTTTCAAAAAGTTCCCGATCCTCCCCCCCTCCCAACCGCCTCCAACCCCCTACAAACCTGGAAATTACAGTCATTTACTTTACTGCATATCATTCAAATTCTACGCATGCCATCGTAGTGAAATTTGGTTTGTATTATTTATAATTAGTTTATCTACAACTTTTGCACTAAAGATTTTCTTATAAAACTATATCCAAAGAGATATAAAATTTTTTTTTTTTTTTTTGTAATGTTTATGTTTTAGAGGTACACAATTTTGTTTTACCCTCTATCAATTTGTTTCAAAAAACATTTTTCTTAAAATGTTTCAAACAAAAATTTTAGTATGCTTCTTAAGATTTATAAATATATATTTGGTTAGTCGGCCGAACGAACTGATGTAGTGTGGGGCGTCGGCAAATAGAGCGTGTGCAGGCTCGCCCGTCGATGCGTCGCGTCGTAGGCACTGACATTGCTAAGTTCTCAAAGGTTGTATATACAAATCCTAAAGGCCTTGTACTTTGTACTTTACTACCAAAACAATCTGTATCCAAGCTTAACCGTTAACTCCAAAAACAATTATTATTTAGATGGAACCCAATCATTTACTTGTTTATAACCAGTTTTGGTTCAGGTAAATCAATCTCTACCTACTTACTTGTTATACTTGCAATACTTGTAATATGTATTTGATTTCTTCATCTTTGACCAACGGAAGTTTGATAGATTGAGGTATAGAACACTAGGCCTAGTAAACACTTTACAAACATACTCTTTGCTCTTCCTTACGTTACAATGTGATTTCCATTATCTACCACCAATGGGACTCGCTTTGTTCCGCAAGGTTTTAACTAACTGCGCCTCGCGGTCAGTGAAGATCTAAACAGAAAACTGCAAAAAAATACTAAGATGAAACCTAATCATTTGTACATTTCTTAGATTTATTGTTACTTTTAACTCGTTTCTCATTTGAAATAATAATTTATTTAATTATTTCCGTTAATGGCTACACCTATTGACAATAATATACATATCCATGTATATTAAAGAAATATTACATTACATAAAGCTGGGTAAGAAACATACTGAACCCAATGATGACATGACCCAATTCGCCTATGGGTCTCAGGATGATTGGAGTGTCGAATCGAAATCCACCACCACTTACCATCAGTTATGTAATATTTACAGTATGGTGAGTAACATTATAAGTGTAAATTTCTGTTTTGAGTGTTAGATTATTAGACATATTTTCTTTTATTTACTTTACAATTAATTAATGCAATAAGGCATATATCCAAAAGTTATAAATAAGTAAGTAAAAAACTATATTTGTGTCCCCATACATGCAGGCAAGGCTATTTATGGAATACATACAGGCAGATTATTCAAATTTCCTTTCTTAACAATTAACATACTTTGTAGATGTGTCAATCAAATTGGAGTTTTTTCGTAAAAATTGGCAGCAATGTATTACGAATCTGCTTTACGGCACTAATACGTCATTGAGATCAATCATTTTTAGAGACTCTATACTGTGAATCTTGGTGAGGTTCTGTTCTCTAATATTTGATTGTTTTCATGTTATCCTAAAAATGAGTAAGCATAATAGTTCTTTATTGGTTTGTGGTAGACATTATGCAATCGTTTAACTTGCTAATAAAGATGAATGCGCTTATTAAGTGTTTTAAAATCTCCTATATATAGACTTAATAAAAAAAAACTAGTTTTAACATTGACTGGTTTTAATTTGTGTTCCTTCCCATGATTAAAAGTGGCTTATAAATATTCCCGACAGTTTTCTACGTTGTTCGTGATATTATTTTAACATAGGCTTACAACTCATGGCAGAGCAGAAAGCTAACCCTTGCTAGCGGGAAGCGTGAAGAGAAGGACATATCAACGATAGGACGCAGTTTGTATCAAGGATTAGTGGGTCGACGAAAACTTTTTACTGACCGTGAGGTGCTTAATTTAGTCACGGTTTAGCTTGGAAACAGATTGTTTTGGTAGTAACGTAGACTACAAATTATTAAGTCGGATTTGTATGAAACAGTTGAGAACTTAGCGGTGCCGGTCCTTATTATGCATCGACGGGAGGGGCTACGCGGATGCTTTAAGAAGCCTGCACGCGCTGTCTTTGCCGACGCCCACACCACATCAGTTTTTTTTTTCAGATGAATAATCAAATATATATTTATAAACCTTAAGAAACATACTAAATTTTGTTGTACTAAAAAGGCAGTTTGTGCGTTTATTGGCTGGGCTAGATGCGACGATGCAGTGCAGAGGTGTTCAACTAGCGCGCACGCGCTCACTTTGCCGACACCCAGCACTTCACCCGGTCACCTAGATGACTAAACAATAATATATTTGTAAACCTTGAAAAACGTACTAAAACTTTTGTTTGAACCATATTTGCGTATTATTTCTATTTAAAAGTATATATAGAGAAAAACATAATTTTGCACTCTGAAACAAAGCTTTTAACGAAGTTTAAATTTTATATCTCCCTAAGTATTGGTTTTAGAAAAATGTTACAAATACAAAAGTTGTAGGAAAACTAATAAGAAATAAAACAAAACAAATTGCAGCTCGATAGCTCACATAGCATTTGAATTATGACCAATTAAGTAAAACACTGCAATTTCTAGGTTTGGAAGGGGGAAAGCTCAAGGGGTAGAAGTGGGGACTTTTGGGAAAATGCACCTCTCATGTGGTTCTATCACATATAAAAAATCCAGCTTTCCACCATTTAGTAGCGATTAAAAACACTTATTGACTGGGCTATAAAATGTTAAATGTAAAATTCAACATTTACTGTTCAATATTTATTGAAGACTTTTATTACTGAAGAATATTAATTTAATAATTAACTATTGTAAAGTATATTTTTATTTTAAACAAGATTTTTGCTGGCCTATTAATATAATGATGATGTTTCTATACATTTTTTTTTTAAATGTTTAAGAGTTACTATAAGAAATGTTAGTGGTACTTTACAAAGCACCAGTATGTTTGTTAATTCAATAATGACATACAAGGCTCACTATTCGGTCAGTCGTCCTACTGAACCGATTTTTACGAGCCCCGAGGTTTCAATTTTTAAGGCCTATTTTGCCAGAAGTGGCTGACAAAGCAACAATAATCGTTCAGTGTCTATTGCTCGGGGCTATTTTGACAGAAGCGTCTGTTCCTTGAGATTATTTGATCAGTGAGTGGTTTTCATTGGTGGCATAGTGAGTGCTGTTTGAAATGAGCTGTAAAACGCAAATAGCAAAGTATATGTGATTTATATGTATATGGTGAAAAATTGGACCAATAAGAATTTTTAGAAACGTTGTGCCAACTCAGGGAAGAAGAGGGGTTCTATATTTTATAGAGACCTGAAGAGGGATATTGTAAATTATTAATAGAAAATCACCTCCGTTCTAGAAAAGTGAAGTGTGTTGAAATGGCTTAAATCAACTTATAATTTTATTTGCGATTAAATCCCCAACTTCATTGAGACCTCACTAAACTTAAATTTTTTTAGAAAAATTAAGAACAGTCAAAATCATAACATGTGTTTCCTCTTCTAATAGACACTAGCGACTGCCTCTCCGTCTGCTCCAGGAGCAGCGGTCCCCGATAGACGCTAGCGGCTCAGTTACACCTAGACACTTTGGGGGCTGTAGCGATAGACTCTTCTGGCAAAATAGACTATCATAAAATAACGCAATGCAATGGGCAGCGATTGACGCAGAACGATTATTTCTGAGCATTAGACGCACCAGTCGCTTCTGGCTAAACTTATGACTAATGACTTAACTGGTTTAAGACTCATGATTCGACAAACTTTCTTTATAACGGTTTAAATGTTGGTTATTTTAACAGCTGATTCATCAGATGAATGTTTTACCACATTAAAATTGTAATCAAGAGACAATAGTTGTTTGCGTAAATAGTACGGTAGTGAAAATAGTTATTTGTCTCATGTGCGCAGCACACATGAGAGAAATGTTTGTAGCAGCAAAAGCACATTGCGCACGTGTTAGGCCTACACATATTTTTCCTATACAGTTACTATGAATCATAGAAATAATTAATAATTGTGTCCTTCAATTCAAACACTAAACAACACGATTTAGGTTAGGTTAAATCCAACTGTTGAACAAAATGGAAAACACAACACCAGCTGATCATAGGCGTAGTGTTGCCAACTCATTTTCTAGCGTACACGAATTACATGCTTAACAACAGTGTTTTGTGTCGTATGGTCTTTTGCCGCACTCATTTTACTTTTGCCATTTACTTTTGTTTTTGCCGCACTCCAGTGTTCCAAACAAACAACACAAAAGAGTATACTAAGTATTAAAGGCCTACTACCAGGAAACTATTAAACCCTTTTAAAATGTGCAATTTGTTTAGGTTTGACTTCTTTTTATTAACTTTTATGGTAATATTAGTCCCTCATTTATTGAAGCTGCAACATAAGAGGATGTAGAACAAACAGCATTTCTGTGCTACATCATAATAATTAATATATTTACTATTTTTTACATAAATTTACAATTTTTTACAATCAACTACATGTAAAATAAATTACAATGACTTAGTTTATAATTTCATCATTCTTGCTAAATACATCTAATGTCCAAATACATACCTAACTATTTACATAGCTAAGACAAATTTAAACAAGAAAATAAATATACAAAATTTAGGACGAATTGATATAATATATATAATATACCGGTACCGGTACATATCTATAACAAGGCCATTCTGACTGGTCGAGCAGCATCGATATAATATAATTTTTTATAAGTATTCCACTTGCAGTCCCAGATCTTGGTATGTGTGGGCACTTGGATCTGTCTTGTCACCTACATGGAAAAATAAACGGTATCAGCAATCTAACACATACTTTCTCCCATAAGCTTGTCAACAACCATTATCATAGGTAAGCAGAGGGAGTAACTGACAATTTTGTAGGAAAACATCACAAAAGTTGCGTTAACTTTTGAACCGTAAATGTTACAGTAATAGGGGTTGCATAGTTTTATTTAGAATTATAAGGACCATAACATACTAATTTTAATCAAAACCGGGTTTTTTCCAAAATCAATTTTTTGTAATTTTATAGGATTTTTACCCTCTTCAGAATAAAGTACTATAACATAGTGAATTTTATTAAAATCGTTCGAGCCATTTTTGAGAAAATTAGATTTTTCCATTATTTTAAGGGGTTTTATGGGAAAATCCCCATTAAAAATCAAAATTAAAAAAAGTTTGGAGATACCATGGATTAGTACCTAGATACCAAATTGCATCAAAATCGGACAACAGATGTGGTATGTATAGGGGTCTCAATCAGGGCCTTCAATCCAATCCCAGGATTTCGAGATTCGTCTCAGCCGATCCCGGGATTGATTATATAATATTATGATTTTTAACTTTTTAGCCATTTTAAATGAGCGAGAAGTCCCCTCGTTGAGTATAGTAGGAATCAAAATTAAAGTCCCATGGAGGGCATAAAATACTGCCATGGGGAGAAGATCCAAAAATGTGTGCCAATCATCCTGTTCCCTATTTTAAGGGAATACACTGGGCGACAGTGATGTCAGGTGGTCGGGGGTGGTGGGGCATAAACATGTTAACTGGGCGACATATGTGTCACCCAGGGGCTATGGGTGGTGCCGGCATATTTTTGTTATGATTAAGTATTAAGAAAATAACATTGTGTAAATATTTTTCAGTATTACGTAATTAAGTGAGATTATATGGACTATTTACATGCAAAATAATCGGAAAATTCATTAAAATAAATGTAGAAATGTGTGATTTTCACTCTAGTCTAAGCAAAAGTTTTCTGAGAACCCAGACCCCGCTTTTTGTTGGGAGTATTCCATACCCCCCACCACCCCCGACCACCTGGCATCACTGTCACCCAGTGTATTCCCTTAAAATAGGGAACAGGACGATTGGCACACATTTTTGGATCTTCTGCCCATGGCAGTATTGGTACAATCATTTGAGCCGAATAAGTAGGGTCAACTCGCCTGTTTGGAAAAGGCACAATTGGCACAACCGCTCGACCAGGTAGATGCCAATCGAACGAGGAAAGACGCAGTGACGGTAGCTGCGCACTGCTTTGTCGGGCAAACTTACACCTTGCTTACTCCAATAATAAGCACCACAGCAGGTAATTTGTCGGGACAAAACAATTTCAATTTTCCTGCGTTTTGGCTACCTGGCTGCTACTTCCTTACCGAGGTGTTGTGCCAGTTGTGCCTTTTCGAACTATCTATTTGTTGTTAACTATTCTATTTGTTTAAGAAGGGTTGACCCTTCTTAAATATGCTCTGGTCCCATTTCTGCAGGTAGAGTGGACCCGTCCTAATCCTGCTTGTCAAAACAATGCTGTTGTTGGGAGCTCGGCGATGCAGGGGGACCATAAAACTTGGAGTATCATGCAAAGACTCATTTAGTAAGCGGAATAAAAAAATTTTGAGTGAACGCTCTACGATTTCCCGTTACCGAGTTATCAGGTCAAGGACCCTATCGAGACTTATTCTCGATTTATGAACCTGCTCTGGAATAGTTATGAATGCTACAAGTGCTTATATTTATTATGAACAAAAGCTACTGGTTGGTTAAAAACATTTATCAACTGATTTTGGTATTATGAAACTGTGCTGCAGTTACAATTTTCTGTTTGGGCTTATATCGTCTACGCTTTTCTTAAGAAGGAAAGGAAAAAACCATTGTTATTTGTCATCGTTGAACTTTGTCAATCTCTTACAGTGATCAATATTTTTTTCTTAAGTGACGCAAAAAAATGTTCTATATTCCAGATTATAATATCTAGGTGGTGGAGCGTAATCACTTTTTTTGTGGAGTATAACGCAAAGATTTAAACCATTATTCTGTAAAACAAATGCATGTGATTTGGTTCATACTGGTCCATGAATATGTATGAACAATAAGCAGAATTGCTGAAATAAATAGTTAAATGTAAACCTGTATTTCTTATAATATTTCAAATGACAGTACGGTATATTTCAAATGAATATTTCAAGAGGTACGGTATTTATTTGAACAGTTTTTTAAGCACAATCTCCAATATCTTAATACTTTATACTTTAATACTTTGCAATGAAATGGCGACCATGCAAAGTTGGTATTTTAAGCCAAGTATGAATGGTGATGAGTGTAGGATGAGTGGCGAGATATTGTAGTCTTGTTAGTGACTAAGGCCAAGGCTAGTTCAATATTGAAACGTTACTTATCCAAATTCAAAATATTTAAATGCATTATCATTGTTTAAAAGATACTCGTTAATATCACTATAGGATTATACTGTAATTTGTTATCTTATTAAAAAAAAATTAAAAAGGCCTATGATGGGTTACAATAATAAAATAACTCCAAACGCAAAACTCTGAAAATACTATACATAACCGCCTGTAATGTGAACATCCTCTTTAAATTTTCAATATGTTGTGTCAAAAATCATCATAGACTTCAAATACGTGAGCTTGAACATTACAAAAGTTTACTTTGAAAGATTATTTTATTATTTTTAGAGTGTTTAAAGTAGGTTCCGGACTCTCAGTGGTAAGGATATAGTGCTCAAAAAGCGATTGTGAGCTGTGATAAGTCATGCACGGAATCAGGGAGGTTAGTTATCCTAGTCTACGCCACAAATAGGCTATACAATACCCTGCAGCCCAACATGTTAAAAACATTCTTGAAACTATTTCCGAATACGAATTTCCCATATAGGGAATAAGCTATTACCGTAGTACTCTTGATAAAACCTGGACCCGGGACCGATTTAATTTTTTTGCTTTGAGGTTTCTAGAGGCCGTAAAACACCATCAGTTGAAATTCATCGCGCAAATTGTGTATATATATATGTGTCTGTTAGCGCGATAACTCAAGCAAAAATGGTCTGATTTTGATGAAATTGAGTACACTATTTCTATGCAAAAAAACTTTGTTATAAACTAAAGAAAACAGTGAGTGTAAATGCACGTGTTAACAATAGCAGTGTCTGGCGGTAGCTTCCGATGCAACGTCACCATGGGGTTGGAAGTGCAGCATCAGGCGGCACGCGTTCACTTCAAAGGACTGGGCTAACCCAAGGCCACAGTGTACGCACCACCGTCACCGCGGACCAGGTGAAGAAATACTATTCTTAATTCGATTATTTTTTTACATTTAGTTTTGCATTGCAGTTGTTTTTTATTATTTCAATTTAAAAATTGACAAACAACTTATTTTATTTACACTTGCCTTACAATATCAGATTACAAAACCGTACACCTACTTAAACCGAATTTGCTTGAGGCTGTTTAATTGTGCGGACTGCAGAAGGGACTTGATGAAGCCACTATGGACTTCTGACACTAGCGGAGTTCAGTTTTGATGCCGTTTTAAAGAAAAGCATCCATGTTCTTATGCTCAAAAACACGGTACTGTTAAGGGTGCGCTCTGCCTCAGCTCAGAAATCTCAACTCGGGCCTCAGAAGAAATGTTGCGCCCAGAGAGCACAGAATAGAAATAGAGGGGCTACGTATATCCAGCAAGCGTTGCGGGCATTGTAGCCAATCCCCCACCACTTACACAGGCAAGTGGTGGCAACTGCTGCATATAGCGGTAGATCACCTTTTCCAAATGTACGATGATTAGACACACTTAGATTAGACTTATTACCAAATTTGGCACAGTTACTCTAAATTAGTGCTTCTCACTGACAGTAAGGTTGGAATGCAAAAAATAATTTTATTGTAATTTTAACAGCCGTTAAAACCCAAAGAAATCATTAAATTTAGAATTAGAACATGAAAAAGTAAGTGATCTAGAATTTTTTTTATTTTTTGGTCAGGAAAGTTTTGTCAGCGGCAAAGTTTGAGAGCTTGAGTTGAATCAAAACATATATTTTTTGGAAAAATTAATGATGAATAGTTTTGGAAATAAATCAGGTAGAAGAGGAAGCAAAATTTGGGACCCCGACGCTCGGGCGCTGCCTTGCGACTAAACGTCTCTCATACTACACACACAGTGATTGATGCATTTAATATTCATTCTAATTTATACATTTATAATATAAGTACGGTAACATTTGTATACTTAAAATTGCTATTCACATTAGTTTTATTATTATTTTGTGTTGGTAAATAATAACTTAATGACGACCAAATCGGCCCCATATTGAACCATACATTGAAGCCTGTTTACAAACTTTTAATAAGGATATTAAAACAAATTTATTTTGTTTGGTAATTTTTACTTCGCTAAAAAAAAAATACAAATCTATACTTATAAAAGGCAAAGCCCTCACTGACTCACTCACTCACTCACTCATCACTAATTCTCCCACTTCCCATTTACCTAGAAAGCTGAAATTCGGTACACCGATTCTTTGGGCATTAAATAGGAAAACTAAATAGTTTTTATTCTGATCGAGCTTTCGGGCTCCGCCCCAGTGGCTCTGGATTTTCTCATGTTAACCTTATGAGTACTCATATTTAAATGGAATTAAAGAATCTTAACAGCTGTTTCAATTAAACAAGTTGGTTCTGTTCTATGATGTTCAATAGCATTAAAGTTACAAGGAATACCAACAGGGTGCAGCACTATTATTTTTTTAAATTTATGACACAGCTAATTTGCAACCAAAAGGTGAGTGAGCGTAGCGAAAGAACTTCAACCTGGAGGCGAGTTAGCATAGCGAACGAGTTAACCTGAAGGCAAGTGAGCGCAGCGAACGAGCTCCAACCTAAAGGTGAGTGAGCGTAGCGAACGAACTTCAACCAGGACGTGATCAAGCCATGCGAACGAGTTCATCTTGAAAATTAAGAAGTTAAACGGGGCAAAG